TGAAGCTACATGATGGCTGACCAGGACCCTGGGGGCATTAGCCCCCTCCAACAAATGGTGGCCTCAGGCGCTGGGGCTGTGGTCACCTCCCTCTTCAGTAAGACTTGGGGAGGTGTGGTAGGGGCAGCTGGAGATTGGGGCAGATCAGAGACTGGTGGTGACTTGTTCCTGGAGGAGGGGTGTGGAGGGTTCCTGAAAGGAGACTTAAGATTTTCCTTCTTCCCCAGTGACTCCCCTGGACGTGGTAAAGGTCCGCTTGCAGTCTCAGCGCCCTTCAGTGACCCACGGTGAGTGCCTGACCCTGGAGCCAATAGGGGCTGGTGACTGGGCAAAACGAAGATCTCTCAGAGATGGGGTCTTTGGGGCAGGTGAAAGGCTCTCCTGACTTGAGGGGATGCCTTGTATTTTAGAGCTGATGCCTCCCTCCAGACTCTGGAGCCTCTCCTACGCCAAATGTGAGTGCCCCAAGCCACAGAAAGCCTGTGAGGCTCGGGAGGGAGTATCCCAGTTGCCCCAGGGCACCTGTGGGCCCCCCAGCCACAGGCTAGTACATGCTTCCAGGTCCTATTAGCCAGTCCTCTGTCTCACACAAGAATGTGCACCTAGGGACCTCAGCCTCTGCTAGCCCTCCAGGAACGAGGCTTCACCCTGCAAGGTTCCAGGGCCCTGGCATCCTAATGTCCCCTCCCTTTCCCCAGTGCCCTCCTCTCTCCAACCCACAGGGAAGTGCCTCCTGTACTGCAATGGTGTCCTGGAGCCCATGTACCTGTGCCCTAATGGTGCTCGCTGTGCCACCTGGTTTCAGGACCCCACTCGCTTCACTGGCACCATGGTGAGGAGCAGCTGTGCCCTCAACTGGGTTTGTAGGCATTCCCCAGGGATTCACATTTCTCAAGCAGCAGACCCAGGAAAGAACAGATAATGCAAAGCATGTAGAGGCAGCTAGCTCAGTTTGGGAAAGGCTTCTCTGAGGAAGTAGTGCCTCCATAGGTTTTGAAGGATAAATAGGAGTCTACCTGGGGTTGAATGGGAATTGCATGTGTGGAGTCTTGAGGGGCCGTTGCCTCCCAGCAGGACCCAGGACTGTGGGCAGAGGTGATGGCGTCAGTCTAGGGCC